GAGGAGGAGGAGGAGGAGGAGGAGGAGGAGGAGGAGGAGGAGGAGGATAAAGGTAGCAGCTCAGGTTTTCCAGGCTGGCCTCTTCATGTTTATGCCGAGGAGGACCTTAAACTTCTGTCCTTCGGCCTCCACCTCCCTCCTGGTAGGATTACAGGCAGCACGTGCCATCAGGATTGGTTTGCATTAAGTGTCAAACCTAGGGCTTCAGACATGCTAGGCGAGCACTCTCAGCTGAGCTGTACTCCCCAGATGCTTCGCTGATTTTCTTGAGCAGTTTGTCATGGCAACACAGTTATGGAGCAGCATAAGATAACATGGAAGAATGTTGTGATGGTCTGATAGAAAAAAAATTACTTAGCTCAGACACAAAAATTAACTTGTGAGGATTAAATTAAGAGTTTGTGTGTACCGTTTGATCCCAACACTCAGGAGGCAGAGATAGGTGAATCTAACAGGCCACCTGGGGCTACATAGTTGGGGGGTGTGGTGTGTGGATTTTGTTTGGGGCTGGAGCGATGACTCCATGGTTAAGAGCACCTGCTGCTCTTCCAGAGGTGTTGGGTTCAATTCCTAGCATCCACACGGCAGCTTACAACTCCAGTTCTAGAGGACCCACTGCCCCTTTCTGGCCTGCACAGGCATTGTGTGCACAAGGTACACAGACACACATGCAGGCAAAAATCCCATATACATAAAAGTAATTTTCTGCCTCCCAAATGCTGGGATTAAAAGTGTATACCATAGCCTGGCAGTGGTGCTGCTGCACATCGAGAGAGAGAGGGAGGCAGATCTCTTGAGTTTGAGGCCACCCTGGTCTACAGAATAAGTTCTAGGACAGCCAGGACTGTGCAGAGAAACCCTGTCTCGAAGGGGGGAAAAAAAAGTGTGCACCTGGCACAAAGCCCTTTCTTGCCCTTTCTTGCTCTGAGCCCCACTCATAGCTGGCTGCCTTTCCCCGTGTCTAAGTGGGTCCTGATGGGATGCCCAAATGTGAAATCTGCTGGCTTTAGAGCTCAGAGGGGCCAGGTGATAGGCAGTAAAAGGCCCAATAACTTGCATTCCTTTTAAGGGGGCACCTGACACTGCCAGGTGGTGGAGTTCACGGAGAGCAGGCCTGGGACGACCCTGAATATGTGCAGGGTTCCTCACCCCCTGCAACACGCCTGCTCTCACCAAGCCTCCAGAGGATGCCACATCGCTTGCCCAGCACATCAGGTAACCTGAGGGTATCAGCGGAATGGCCCCATAGATACTAGAGAGCCTAGCTTCTCTGAAGTAGGTGAGTTAAAATGGTCTTGGGGCATGTGTGGTGGGACACACGTGTAATCCGGCACTCAGAGGCAGGAGGATTGCCGAGAGTTGGAGGCCAGCTCGGTATTATATTGACTCCCAGGTCAGTCAGGGCTATACAGATACATCCTGTCTCAAAAACAAAACAAAACAAAAACCCAAACAAACAAAAAAGGGGAGCTGCAGGGTAGGGTGTGACTCAGTTGGTAGTATGCATGCCTGGCAAGCATGAGTCCATGGGTGTGATCTCTGCATCCCTTGACCCAGATGGACGGAAGAACCAGAAATTCAAGGCCATCCTCGACTACACAGAAATTTCAAGGTCAGCCTGGACTAGACTCAGTCTTCTAACAATCAACAGGAACAGCTGTTAGCCTAACATGAACAGTTGTCGGGCAAGACTGTAAACATGGAAGGCTGTTCATTCCACAGGCAGGTGCATCGTCAAGTGAGAAGAGACGGGGACGCATCAGTAACTGAACATACTCAGCGACCACACACAGCCCTGGAGCTGGCACCCAGCACCCACTTGGCTGAGTCTGTGGGAGTGTACTGCTAGTAAGAGCCTCCTTGCTTCTTACAGGGGCCAGATGGTGAAAGAACTGATGTCAGGATGGGAACCACCCATCCTCTGCATCATTCAAGGGTGACTCTAAGTCTTCCTTCCTGGATACAATAATGTTTTGGAGTTTTTGTTTTGTTAATTCTTTTATGGTGCTGAATATCAAAATCATGACCCTGTGTATGTGCTAAACAAGAGCTCTGCCACTGACCAAGTCTCACCATGTAGCCCAGGCTGGCCTTGTACCCACAATCCTCTTGTCTTCACCCACAATATGATTTCTGAAACCAAGTAGAGACTTTCTGTACATACAGGTCCAGATATGAGGATGCAACCAACCTTGAACCACAGCTGTTCAGAAAACAAAAACTTGCATCTCTTCAGGACACATGCAGAACCCTGGCCCTGGTCATTATTTCCCCAAACAATAAAAGTATTTCATAACATTGATCTTGTATTAAGAACTATAAGAATTATTAAGAATTATAAGCCATCTAAACATGGTTTAAAGCCCACAGGAGGGTGTGGAGGCTGTATGTCAACACTACTCCATTGTATACAAGACTTAAATGTTTGCAGATTTTAGCCTCCAAGGGAGTCCTGTCCCTGATACCCAGAGCAGATCAAACTCTCCATAGTGAGTAGCAGATCAGATTCCACTTGACTGTCTTACTCTGCTACTTCTTAGTCTGAAAGTCAAGGAACCAAAGTGGAATTCGGCCCGTGTCAGGGAGGCCCTAGCCCACTAGCTGGTGAAGTTTCTTGCTGGGAGGACGCTCAGCTCAACTTAGGACGCATTATGGTAAAATGATACAGAGTGGGCTAGAGATATGGTCCATTTGGTAGCATTCTTGCATGAAGCTCTGGGTTCAATCCCACATATCAAATGGAAACCAGGCGTAAGGGGAACACCTGTAACACCAAAAAAAAGCCAGACATTCAAAATCACCCTTGATTACAAAGTCATTACAAAATCACCTTGATTCCAGCCTGGAAGACCCTATCCAAAAACAAAAAACAAAGTAGAGAAACACACACACACACACACACACACACACACACACACACACACACACCACAAACCCAGTGTTGGGTCCCAACACAGGAGACCAGAGAGAATAACGAAGACAAAGTATTGCTATAACAAAAGTACACGCTACCAAAAATAGGTTTTGCAGAAGCAGCTGAAGGTCAGAAAAGGGAAGTTTGTGTCCAGGGCCACACGGTAGGAATCCCAGGGTCCTGGTGTGAGAGACTTCCTTCAGAGCTTGTCGACTGCGAACACCATGTCTAGACATGTGACATAATCACAGATTAAGGAGCCGAGGAGCTTGGTTTGTTTGGCCTTTTACTAGGTGTCACTTCTCAGCTGGGATATGAAAGGGTTCAGCCATGACTGAGATCCTCCGAGAGGGTAGCAAACCTAGGCTCACACCAGTGAGACCTCCGTCCATGTCCTCCCACTGTGCACACCAGGCAAGCATTCAGCCTCCAGCTCTGCCTCCAGGCTTCTGCTCACTTCTTACTTTGAAACAGGGTCTCGCTAAGCTTCAGGTTTTAAAATGGTACCCTTCCTGCCTCTGGCCCCCCGAGGGTCAGGATTTTAGGTGTACACTCCGTGCCCAATTCAATACTGGCTTTATTTTAATGATGATAACAAAAAAGAAATTTTGAAGATGTAAATTAGAATGTTGATATTTTTTCAACAAAGACTAATGAATGGAGTCTGGAAGTGTATAAAATAATTATACACCATGACCAAATAGCAACTGCAGTAAGAAAGGAAAGTTGGTTTAACCTTTAAAAAACAAAACAGAAACAAGCAAGCAAACAAACAAAAACAGCCAGGCATGATAGCAAATGCCTGTAATCCTAACACGTGGGAGGTAGAAGCAGGAAGGTCAGAAGTTTTAAGCCATACTCAGCTAGGTACACTGTGAGTTAAAGGCCAGCAGAGGCTACATAAGAACATGAAACCTTACCTCATACCCTCTCACCACACCCAATATACAGTATTGATTACAAAGACACCATAACAGCATCGAGATCGTGAAAAACAAAGGCCAGGTGCAGCAGTGCACACCTTTAATCCCAGCACTTGAGAAGCAGTGGGTGGACAGGCTCAGTAGAGCCCTCAGAAGCTGGGTAAATGCAGAGTCCAAGAGACAGAAGACTCAAAGAATGAAAGGAAGGGCGTCAGAGACTGAGACCCTTGTCTCTGCCCTGAACATTTGCTAAGAGACTTCCTGAGAAGTTGCTGATATCAAGCCTCTGTTTCCTGTTGTTAGGCCAGAGAGAATGAACTTGGATGGGAGGCCATTTGGGCCTCGGAGGAAATGTGAGCTTGCTTATAGCCTGAGCCTGTGCGCACACCACACTCAGAAGCAGACACATAGATTACGTTCATTGCTGAAGGGCATGCAGACAGGCACACACACCAATCACATGGGTACACCAGAGCACCATGCCAATGCCTGGGTTCCAAACTTCAGGAATTTCTAGGTGATACTGGAGGGGAGACAGATGAGGAGGCTGCAATCCAGACAGCTCAGGGAGGAAGCGGGTTAAAAGGGAAGGCAGAGCATAAGGATGCAGCTCATTTTGCCTCAGAACGCTTAGGTCCTGCCCATACCTCTGTCACTGAGCATCAAAGCAAAGACCATCTTAAGACCCAACTCTGTCCTTGAGGAGCCTGCAGAGTCTCAGCTGAGAGATCTCAAATCTCCTGGGGGTAATGATGAACAAAGTAGATAAAAAGGACTTGGGGATGGGAACCCACAGGGACCAAGGCCTTAGGCTGGCCCTTGGGCTTGAGGCTGGCTGTGTGGCAACAGTACATCTCCTAAGGATGACCCTGATGTTTTAAGACTCCCACGATATGACCAAGCTGGCTGCAGAGGCAAGAGTTTGGCCTAGGACTTGGTAGTCAGGCAGTTAGCTCCTCAGCATCCGCCCTCTCCTGTCCTGTGATGGTTTGGGCCCTTTACCTGCGGTTCCTGCCATTCCTCTAGATCAATCTGGATTCTGCCACTGCTGACCAGATTCACCTCAAACCAACTTCATCAGAAAAGAGAAGTGACTGTTTCACAAGACAGAACAATCCAGGGGTGCACACCAGACAAGGGGCCCCTAGGACTTAACAACATGAGTCCTCAGCTTCTGTACTCTGAGCTTCCTTTCCCAAACTGCTAATGAGGTTTCCAGAACTGGGAAGAATCACTGTCTTGAGCCAAGCAGGATGCTGGGTAAATACGCTGGCCTAGAGACAAATATTCTCCCACAGCCCAAGGATGGAAGCTGTTATTAATGAGCCTATGAGGCTCTGAGGGTGGTAGGCCTCGGGATGCCTAAAGGAGCAAGAACACGGGTAGGTCCGTTGTGGCCAGGGACACCTCAACAGCATTATGAAGCCATAGGGAGTCGGGAAGGCCAAAGCAGCACTATACATTAGAAAGTAGCCCTGGAGTGAGGTGCGGAAGCAAGTTAAGTGGGGGCAGAGGGTGGGGAGGGGAGTCAGGGTTGGGAGTCCAGGAGTCCAGAGCTTAAAACTGAACCCAGGAGAGGTCTAAAAGGCCAGTGGGAGACTACGAAGGGTACAGGGCCCACGTGATGTGGTAGCTGGAAACACCCAAGGCTAGAGTGGGCGTGGATGAGCAGCTTGAGCTCTGCCATCACAGGATTAAGTACATCTACCACCCTGGTTTCTACCTTCCCAGCCTGGCCAGGATCCCTGCCTCTGTGGATACGGTCATGCCCCCAGCCCTCCCCGCCTCTACTGAGAAGGGGTGGGGAGTGCTGACGCTCTTCCTCTCCTGGGCTGGAGACTGGCTGATAAGAGCTCTGCAGCTAACTCTGGCCTGTGGCTGGCACCATGAAGGACGATGTGGCTCTTCTGGCGACCGTCACCCTCGTGGGAGTTCTGATGCAAGGTAGGCTGGCTCCTGTCTGGGAGGTAGGACCTGCTCTCTGGCCTTCAGGTCCTGCCTTTGGGTAGAGAATGGGGGTGCTGGCAAGCCTAGGCCCAGGTTAAAGACTTCCAGCCCAGGCTCCTGGTGCCAAGCCCAAGGTCTTAAGAGCTACTGGAGTCTTGGGTGTCAAAGGGCCTAAGTCCCAGCGGCGGAGCCCACACTTCCCTGGAGTGGGGAATTAGCCCCGGAGGAGTGTCTGCAGAGGGGCACTGGAAACTGTATACAGGTCAAGGTCTAGAGGAGTACCCAGCCAAGGAGGACCAGCCCAAGGATGTCAAAGATTGCCGAAGGGCCACTGAAAAGCATGTCAGGTGTCTGCTTTGTGGCGGGGGCTGGTGTCTGCCTGGGAGTTTGAGGAATAGTGGGACAGCTATGGGCTTAGGTCGGGAGAGTCCCAGCTACAGGCATCTGGAGCAAGATATCTGCCAGAGTTAGGGCTAGGTCCACAGGGAAACTGAGACAAGAGTTTAGGCCATTGTGTGGTGGTACTGACACCCAAGCAGTGTGACCCTGGCCTGAGTTAAGGTCCCTTCTGGCGGACTCTATCGGAGGGAAACCAGGGTCCCTTAGCCACAGGACATGTGCTTCCTTGTTCCTTAAAGAACACAGCTAATTTTGTCCTGGGGCACTCAGGGGCTAAAAGACTGGGGTCTAGACCTGCAGAACGGGGAGTGGGTATTTGCGTGCGCTTTACAAGTCAAATAGTTCAGGAGCGCCTCCCACCCACAGGTGTTTCTGGCCTGCATCACCGCAGTCAACCCTCGGGCCTACTGGGCCTCTCCATTGAATATGGGGCAGGTGTGAGGAAGAGGTTAAACGGGGGTCGCTCAGGGAGAGACAGGGAGGAGAGGACTGAGGGACAAAACCCGCCCCAGGTGTCCGGGGCGCCACACCTGACTCCCACATCCCCGCGGCCGCAGCCTACTTCTCCCTGCAGGTCATCTCCGCGCGAAGGGCTTTCCACGTGTCGCCGCCGCTCACCTCTGGCCCTCCCGAGTTCGAGCGCGTCTTCCGAGCCCAGTGAGCGCGGCGGGTCCGGGCAGGTTCGGGTGTCAACCCAGCCGGTCCACGCGCTCACCAAGCCTGCCCCACGCAGGGTGAACTGCAGCGAGTACTTCCCGCTGTTCCTCGCCACGCTCTGGGTCGCCGGCATCTTCTTCCACGAAGGTGCGGGGCGCCGCGGGGGTGTCCTCTCGGGGGCGGGTGGTCCCCGGGTGGCGGGTGGTCCCCGGGTGGCGGGGGTGCGCGCCCACCGCGTCCCCTTGCCTCTCGCAGGCGCCGCAGCCCTGTGCGGACTGTTCTACCTGTTCGCGCGCTTCCGATACTTCCAAGGGTACGCGCGCTCGGCGCAGCTCAGGTAACTCGGGCCGGACTTCCGGGAAAGCGCTACGGGGGAGGGTCGCCCCGGCGGGAAGCCGCTCTAAGGGTGGGAAGCGGCGAGCGGCCGCGGGGCTCAGGTGGAAAGAGATTGTCCTCGCGGACGGCGGGTGGGCGGGCCCAGCCGGGGGGAGCTGGTCTTGTCCGGCGGGGGCGGGGCCTGAGCCCGAGGGCGGGCCTAGCCTGAGGGGCGGGGCTGGCACGGCGGGGGCGGAGCCTGTGCCTGCGGGGCGGGGCCTTGGCTCTGCTGCCGCTGAACGCCTCCTGCAGGCTGGCTCCCCTGTACGCGAGCGCGCGCGCACTCTGGCTGCTGGTGGCGATGGCTGCGCTGGGCTTGCTGGTCCATTTCCTCCCCGGTACGCTACGCGCTGCGCTCTTCCGACGGCTCCAGGTGCTCCTGCCGATGACCTGAGGCGAAGGACTTCCAGAAGACTTTAGAGCAAAATGCTGGGGTGCCCGCCTCCGAATCTCAGTTTCTAATTAAAGTTCCCATGGCTGACGGGCCCTGTCAGTGTTCTCTGGGTCTGAGAGAGTCGCTTACCACAGGCTGCGAAGCCTGGAAGGCCCCAGCCCGGAAAGATGCAGCCGGGCTTTGGGAGGCGGCGAGGGCAGGCTTGGCCCTCACTGTACTCTCCTCTAGATAGCACCTTACCTCTGCCTTGACATTTTCTTCCAGACATTGCCATCCTTCACCCACCTTTCTGCGCTTGGGGCTCACCCTCCTCCAGGCTGAGCCTCAGTTGTCGGATTCTTCTTCGTGTGCCTTCTTGTCCTCCACACCCAACCCCAACTTCACAACCAGAACCAGTTGGCCTTTCCCCAAGTGAGAGCCGGGGGCCTGTTTTCATCAGCACTACATCTCCAACATGGGATGGAGATCGGTGTAGGTGTTTAGGACAACGCTGCAGAGACCCACAGCACAGTGAGCATGAGCAGACATAGAGTCGGTGATAGGTTCTCTCAAATGGGCCTCAGGTGCTTGAAGAGGGCCAGACTTGGGTAGGCCTACTGACAAAAACATCTCTCAATGACTCTTAACCTATCTGGCCAGGGATGACGCTTCTCAGACAACGTGTGAAAAGGCCCTGAAGTGGGTAGGAATGGCCCATTTTATTTTAGGGAGGGTCACAGCATAACCAGGTGTTGTGGTTCACAGTTGTGATCCCAAGTGTTTGGGAAGCTGAGGCATAAATACAAGGCCAGTTTGGGCTACAGTGAGTTCCAGGACCACCCCCCCCCGTCAGTCTCAGTCCCTCTCTAACAGTACCCCAACTCCCATACCAAGATCCTATTATATGAGACAAAAGGAGGAGGAGGGAGAAAGACACTAAGGACTAAGTGGGGGGCAATGACAAAGGTTGGCGGACACTCTCCCCCTGAGGCACTCGGGGGCTCAGGTCTGTGCAACAGTTGGGGTGGGTAATGTGTTGCCAGCCCAAGAAGACAGGGGGACACTCTGGACGGGGATTCCTGTAAGATAGGTAGGCACAACTTCGAGTGGATGAAAGCCCCTGGCTCAGTGGCCAAGACCTTCCTGCTAAGTGGGGATGAGGTTGAGTTGAGCACCGGGACACCTGACATGGTAATGGGGGTCTGGACTCAGTCCTTGGCATGACAGGGGTCAAAGTTACCTTCACCAAGTAGCCTGCCAGTCTTGCAGACAGGTGAGCCAGTCGCCCCAAATCCCCACCCCCAGCAAGTTTTGGGGAACCATGAGGAGAGGCCAAATACAGGCAGGCAGACATACACATGCCTGGCCAGAACTGGGAACATTCACGTATGAGGCACAAAACTTCATTAACCCTTTATTACAAGTCACGCTCTTATAGAAGTATATGCGAACTTACGTGAAAAAATCAAATGTATCCAAGAATAAAAAACACAGCACATAAAGTAGTGTATGCATTCCAGTGTTCGCACCGCACACAGCGGCACCCAAGAAAAAGCTCTTCTAACGGCCTGGCTAAAGACGACCGGCCAGGGGCAAACAGTTCTGTTCAGTACTTTTTGGGCGGCAGCAGGCCGGCCCTCAGGCACAGTGTGGGAGCCGCCTGCCTCTCCCGCGGCCCGGCGGGCAGGGGCAGCACCAGCTTCTGGGGCCTCCGGGCCAGCGGTGGACCCCAGGCCAGCCCAAGCCGCCTGCCAGGCAGAACCCTCCAGGTGGGGTGGACATGCCTGGTCCTCTGGGACGGCGACAGCAGCGGCGGCGGCGGTAGCGGTAGCAACACCCTCAGAACTGTGGGCTCCAGAGCAGGCCACAGAGCACCCTTGGATGCCTTCCACTTAGTCCGCCTTTTTCAGAAAGATCTGGAAGAGTCAGGCTCAGGATGAGCGGGGGAGCCTTGGGGCTTCTTAGGGTCTAGCTGGTTCGTCCTATCCCCGCACCCAGCCGATCTCACCTCACTCAAAATGACCCACACAGGAGAGTCAGTCTGGATGGAGAGGCGCAGCGCTTCTAGCGGGCCAAAGGCAGGGTCCACTTCCCCTTCCGCTACACCCTTGTAGAAGGAGCCTGCGGGAGTACAGTGCCTAGGGGTGAACACAAAAGCCACACCCCAAAGTGATCCAACCCACACAAGTCCTGCCCTACTCACCGATCTGGAGGTAGCCATCAGGGCTCCTAGGGTACCGGAGGGTGGCCGAGCGGCCCTCCTGAAGAGCCTCCTTCTCTGACTGGGGATTCTGAGGGCAAAGCATTAGGGCTGGAGCAGCTGGCCAGAAGGGGGCACCCTTAGCTCCCATCCACACCCAACTGTACTCACATCAAAGGGCAGCACCTCCACAGAAGTGTTGAAGAGCTTATCTTCCGGGTGCTCAATGTTCCCGCTTCGAAAGAAGAACCTACGGGCGCCAAGCAGGCCGGTGAGCTGCTGTAAAGGTGAGGTACTGCCCGGGCCCAGCAGAACGAAGGCCAAGCCCGTGCCAGAAATAGCCTAGGCGGGCCTCCAGGTGCTACGGGAGGTTAGGCCCCATCTTGGACAATCTATGGGCTGTGCAGGGCAGCCAAGGCGTTTCCCTGAGACTATGATGGGTGTTACTGAGTTACCTAAAGATGTTAGCTAAAGATATCCTTGCCTTAGTCCTTACAAGGGCAGGAAGTACTAGTACGGGTAATGCTTTTCAATAAGGAAACTAGGCATGGCGGGGTCGGAGGATGATGGGGGTGGATGGGGATTATAAATGGGTACCTATAGACCCAGCAATATATGCTGAGGCCTCTAACTGGTGTCCACCCTGTCCCCTCCCCAGGGAGCACTGACCGCTCAAGGCGCAGTGGCTGGAAGAAGCGGAAGCGGATGAAGTCTCCGGCAGCAGGTGTGAAGGCCCAGAAGAAATCCTCTCGTAAGTAGGCCTTCTCCAGGGTGAAATGCTGGTACGTCTTGAGGCTTGTGCTCACCTCTGCTGGCGGGTTCACGTGTTCCTTCCGCAGAGCGTGTTTTCCAAAGTCTTTATCCTAGGGAGCAACAGCAGGCATGAGGGCCACCCTCCAGCCTCGCCTCCGCCGAGCTCTGTGCAAACGTGGCGGCACACCCCACCTTCAGCTTCTGGATCTTGCCCGCCAGTGAGGAGTGAGTGCCCACATGCTGGAAGAGGGACGGCTTGAAGCGGATCCGGAGGTTGGCCTTCTGCCGGTCGCAGTGCTTCTGCAAGCAGACAGATGCCTTAGGGTTCAGCTCAGCGCAGACCCAAGGATGGGGAGCTTTCCTTAGGAAAACGGGGCTATTTCCTCAGCCAGCGGTGTCCTCTCCAGGAACACAGTATGAGCTGGCAGCCGAGGGCCCTGCCTTCCCTGAGCTGGTTCCAAGTGTCCCCTGCTCACCGCATCCTTCTCAGGGTTGCAGACTTTCACCCACAGGATGTGGTCCAGGAGCCAGTCGATAGGCTTGTCTCGGTAGAACATAAGGATGAATTCCACAATCAGGCTCAGATCCAGTGACTTGAACATCTTCCCTGAGGGCAGGAGTCAGGGAACAGGCCCTGAGCGGGAAGTACTGCTAAACCCTATTTCTTCATCCCCGTGGGGGCCATGTGGAGTGTCTCACAGCAAACCTTGTGGGCAGACTTCGGGCCCCTGGAACGTCCTCAGACAGAGGGCACTTCCAGCAAGGATCGCTAGCAAGGTACTGGGGCTGAGAGATGGTAGGTGGAAGGGCACAGTAGGACTTTGGGGTCATCATCTGGCTAGCAGGTGCAGCCCAGCCTACCGATAAAGCCCAGCTGGGAGAACTCCAGGATCATCCAGTCCTCAGAGGGCTGCTGCAGGGCGAAGTTCTTCATCGTGCTCAAGTAGTTGGGCTTGGCCACAATGTCATCCTCCAGCTGCATGGGGAGGGGCAGACAGGAGTGGGGACTCAGGACCGGCAAAGGGCAGAAGTGGATCCCTCCCCCAAGGGTGGGCGGCAGGGCAAGGCCAGCAACTTAGGTCAAAGAGGGTTCGGGGTGGGCAGGGGAAATGATTCTCGCTGACCTGCACGTAGTAAATGCCTTTGGACTGCGCATACATCATGAGGAAGCAGTAATCGAGGTTCTGTTTGGTCCTCCACCTACGGGCCAGGGGTAGGAGCCTCAGAAGCAGAGAACGGACACCTGGGACGACCACGGAGAAGCCACCAAGGCAGGGAGGACCCACCCTGCCCGCTCCCCACCCCACCCCCATCAGACACTGTCTGCCAAGGAGACAAAGTGTGGTTGGTGCCCAGCACCAACAGACTGCTGGGATCACCATACCTGACTCTCTCCTTGGGGTCGCCAAAGGACTCTCGAAGGCGGGAGAAGTCAGGGTAGAAGTGAGGGGAAGGGGAGATGACTTCCAGGAGCCCAGAATGGATCTCTGTGGGGAACCTAGGTGGGGGAAAGGCCCAGTAGGTGTGCAGCCCGCTGGGGGGCGCTCCTGGCCAGCCTCTAAGGCCTCTCAAAGCAGAGAGCCCTCCTCCACCAGCCTCCTGAAGCACTGGACCCCAGAAAGGCCAAGGCCCTCACACACCTTCCCTCGTTTAACAGAGAAGGGACGCCCCTCCCCACACAAAGCAGCCTGTCCTCTTAGGGGAGGCCGGTACCCCGCTGCCCTCCCTCCAGCAACCTTTCCCAGCTGCCGGTACTCACAAGGCCTTGATGTTCTCTGTCACTGCCGATGTGTACTGTGGGTCGGTCTGCAGGAAGACCAAATACAGTCCGCTTAGCTACCACCCCAAATGGTCTGGGAGGGGGAGGGCCAGGAGGGCGAGTTTCAGATGTCCCGTGTGCCGGGAGAGATGGGGGCTGGGCCTGGCTGTGGTCACTTGTCAGGGGTGTGGTGTGATGGGAACCAGATATCTAGTTTCGCCACAAGGGGGCGCAAAGATGCTTCTTCTTCTTTTTTTTTTTTTTTAACTTTCTGTTTCGATGCATTTGTGAATAATTTTTTTGTTTTTTGTTTTTGTTTTCTGAGACAGGGCTTCTCTGTGTAGCCTTGGCTGCCCTGATCCTGGAATGGCTTTGTAAACCAGGCCGGTGGCTTCG